ACATTTGTTTTTTCTTTTTTTGTTTTTTTTTTTTCTCACAGAAAAAAGTATGTTAAGGTGGTGGCATTTCCTTTGCTCAAAAATCAATCCTCTCTCTTTCTTTCACTCGGAGAATGCAGGTAAAACAGTGGCAGTGCAATTACAAGTGAAGAGATTTCCATTCCTTTTTTATGTTTCCCTCAGTTTGGTGAATGCTAATGGGGGCTTGTAGATTTGCAGGGCACGGGCAGTGCGAGGCCCATCTGTGAATAATGGATGAGTTAATGTTAGCGAGAGCTCATCCTGGAACCCACTCCTCAGAAGAAATACATATAATTTTTTATCTTTGGTTTCCTGGACTGCGTGATTCTGATTGGCAGGGTCATCCAGTCATCTCACGTACCTCTCGTGTAGAGCTTCATATCAACGAAGACCAATGCAGTATACCACAGTACGGATTTCTAGCACGTCCAACTTTGAGGCGTCATGTATATTTACTAATATTTCTTTTAGTCGATATCAGTGTTTCCTTCAAGCTTAAAGGTTTCTTTTTACTTTAGAGGGTTTGAAAAGGATTAAGCTTGGTTTAAATGCTATTTATTTTCTGTCAGAAGTTTAACATTGTAGAGCTATATTTTAAACGAATAACATTTTTATATATTAAAGTAAAATCTTAAATCTGACTAGGCAAAAGGTTCAAGAGCTACAGAAGAACATAGGTGAACTGGAAAACTAAATTCTTTGGTCAGTTCCAAAGAAACAAAGTAGCTGTAATAACTACTTCTATACTGTTTTTTTTCTTTTTTGTATCGAAACAAACTGTTTCCAGTTGTTAAGAAATGTCCCCATAAATAGAAAAAAAAAAGGAACACTGAAATGATTTTGTATATATCCTCAGTACAAATTCAAAAAATCCAATTCACTTTTATTTATATAGCGCCGTATCACCACCATTGTTGCCTTAAGGTGCTTTATATTGTAAGGTAAAAACCCTGCGATAATACAAAGGAAAAAAACCTTTCAAATAAAATGAAGGAGAACTTAAACAAAACTGACACTCGGTTGCGGTCTGCTTATGCTCCAGGAGGAACAAAGGGGACATGAAGTGCAGTCTCAATGAAGTGGGCAGTGAGGCTCATATATGGATCAGATGTGTGACTTGTTCATGAGCAGCAATCCGAACACAGAAGTTCATCCCTCTGTTTACGCTCGGGATGTTTACGGCCTTGGAGTTGGTAACGATGCTCAGCTACTTTAATCAGCTGCTTAAATCGGACATTTTCAACTGTGGTTACTGGCGTCGTGTATTGTAATGGTGTTAGCTGCCTTTGTAGAAACATGCTTTTGCAACTGTGTGCTCTGCTCTGCTTGTTTGGCGGAGGTTAAATAGCCGGATTATCTCCACGCTCCCGATTTCCTTAACAACGTCTTCGTGTTTTGAGTCTGGGGTTGTGCCGTTGGGGTGTCACATGTTCGATATCACTGTTGCTTGAGTTTTCGCTCGACATGCTGGTTTGTAGCTTCTCAAACATTAGCGCTGCTGCTGCTCGGACTCGACTCCAACCACAATTTTTTCCGCGCTGCACTCTTCTCATTGTCATTGTCATTCTGTCAACTTTATATTGACCATGTCTCATATTATAGAAACATTTTTGGTTGATAATCCTTTTTATTATCAACCAAAAATTTTCTTTTTTATTATTTTTATTATTTTATTGCCTAGCTCTGGATGAGTTGGAAATCCGCATCATCTTGAATTTCCTCCTTAAGAGGAACCTGTTTTATGAGACGTTATGCCTTTGCTAAATGAATTGGGATGAAGCTATAATTTTGTGTTTTCAGTAGACACTGGGTCGTGAAAACGGCGTAAAATCACTAGTTAAAATTTTTAAAAAAGCAAACCCTAACAAAGCAAAACAAACAAGTAAATAAAGTTTGCCTTAAAATAAGGTTTCAAAAGCCTCCTTCCAACAGAGATTCTTGTACCGTGCGTGTGCCATCACTCGAACCTTTCATTAGCCGAGAAGAACAGGGAGATCTACCTAATCTTTGATGTGGTAGTGTATACATAAGCCTGTTACTACACAGCTGAAATAGTAGCATCACAATTAACCAACATGTTTGCTGGTTTAGTTGGTGATTAGCTCTTTGGGGCAGGGAACTTTCATATTTGCCAGATTTATTTTTTTATTTTTTTTAGACTGTCTTTCGTCTGATTATGATTCCTCTGCTAAGACCAACCTTTGGCCTTTTACTGCTTTAACATTAAATCAGTCAGGACCCTTTCAAATGATGCCATAGTTAGTTTAGGTTTACAGTCTAGTAACCAGTAAAATCACCTCTCTGTTTGTTGTGAGCATCCTTTGCCTCCTGCATTTCTCCACAGTTTTAAAAGGAATTGGAGAACTCTTGGAGGATTCTGTGGACTTAGCCTGTCTCAGTCGTTTCTGTTTCTCGCTGGTATTTCTGGCTCAATAACGTTGAGATCAGGGCTCTGTCAGCCTCTCACCATCTGCTGCAGGAATTCTTCCTGCTGCTGAAGACGGTTCTTTGTGACTCTCTCTTTGGGCTCGTCTTTGTGCTGCAAAACGAATCTGAGACCATCCAGACACCTTCTTTATGGTGCACAGATTCCAAAATATAAACTGTCTTAAAGCTTTTCACTGTATTGCATTGTTGTGAGGAAATTGAATACTTTACAAAGAATTCTACTGAAATATTAGATGAACGTTTTTGATATGACAATTACATCAGAGGACAAAAGGATGCCCAATATGGGTCAGAATTAGGTGACAAATGACACGTTTTCTAATGTAGTGGGTGGAGACCTTATGGCACGAGTAGGATTAAGTTTGTGCCTCGAACACAAAAGTGGTGCTCCAAACAATAGCTTTAGTTCTGTTTATGAACATGACCTCTTTTTGGTTCAGGGAAATTCAAAGTGACACTTTGCCCGCCAGAAGACAGTGGTTTCTAAATACCACACGACAAAGTGCTTTTTCTCGAGTCATAGCTGATTCCCACACTCACACATCCTCTCACACTGTGTCTGTGGTTGTGTCACAGAGGGAAAAAGAAGGTCTGGCCCGGCTAACACTTAGCACTAAGCCTTATTTTCTGTGAATTTTTTTGTCAGTTCAGTTAAACTATACAAGATAGAGCCATGATGCTTCACAGGCATATAGCTGAGATCAAAATAAGGATATGTTTAGTCTTACCATTGACGTACAGATGATCGAGTATGAGTTGGAACCAGTGCTGGTTGTAACACATTAAACGCAAGCACTGAGTACTTTTTTCCTGTAGTGAATAATCGAAGGGGTTTAATTTACAATACCAGTAATCACTTATTTACCTACTTTTTTCAAATGACCAATCTGTCAGAGTGACAGTATTACCACAGTTCCTTCCTTGAGACATTATACATTGTTTGTCTCTGACTTCTTGGCATGCAGCTGTATACTAGTGGAATACACACCCATCCATGGCCAGAGCTGTGTCTTTGTGCATGTTAATGCCAGCTAGCTTATGCTCTTTTATTATTTGTGGCAAGAGTGATAGAAAATGTGTGGCTAAGGAGCTCTGCTTTACATTTTGAAGAAACGCCTGCAAGCTAAGCACACTGATGGTGAGGCCCACTGAGGAAGAGAACCACAAAATTGCTTTTAGCATCGCTAAAGCTTCTCGCTGGTAATTTGATGGAGGAGATGCTACCAGTGTCAGCTCACTGTGTAATTAAGTGATTTTTATTTAGCGCCTTTTCTACTCTACTTGAGTACTCAAAGTGCTTTATATCATTCACACAAGCCCCTTTTCATACTTCTGAGTGTTTTCTATGTAGTCTAAGAAGGTTTGATAGAAAAGCATCTGGACTTCTTTAAGTTGCTTGAAGATGCTTCACTTCTCATCCGAGAAGCTTCTTCAGTTCTAAGGTGAAATGGTACAGAGTCCCAGATTTAAGCCCTATGGGAGTGTCCCCGAAGAGGGACAATGGACCCCCAAATGATCCTCTACCTAATCCCATGAGTCAAGGTGTGAAATGGTAAATGGCTTGTATTTGTATAGCGCTTTACCAGTCCCTAAGGACCCCAAAGCACTTTACACATTCAGTCATCCACCCA